CCAAGAGCCGAGGCCGCCGACAACTGCACGCCAACACCCCGGCTGAACGCGGGGCTCCAGCAGCGGCAGTTTCGGCGATTGCGGCCTAATGCTTGACGAATCCACAACACTTGATTATGCCGATTGAAACCGCCAAGCAGTACTGGTCAAACGTACTTCAAGTTTGTGGATCGTGTTGCGTATGGGCTTGGAAGTGCGCATTATCCGCGCACAAACCATCCGAATCATGAACATGTGCCGGTACCACCACCAAGCCGTTTCGCAGTCCCCAAAAAACGCGTGCTGCTCCCAGCCGTCATGGTGCCACGTTGCCGTCGAAAAAGGGTGGCGCCGTCGCTCGGGTGTGCGTGCGAGTCTATATGACTACACCACAAGACATGCTGCCCTCCTCGGTAGGCGCGGCAGCGTTCCAAATCCCATGGCATCCAAGATCCTGAGCTTGCCATGGCATCCAAGATCCCATGGCGCCCAATGAACTCCAGCGAGGCTGCTGCGCAGCAAAGATGATGCTAGCCCGATTGGCCGACAAATACTCGATGAGAGGTCCGCCACTAGACACGTTCACGCTAATGATCATACCCTCGACCGGCTGTCTTCGCATGCCGACCGCAACCGACGATTCTGACCGTATGTTTTTCTCCCCCGCACCCAGCGTCAAGGAGGAAGAAAGATGAGAGGTACTCGTCCTCGCTGTAGAGGGGCCCTCCGCGCGTACCTGAAGATCTCGCGGAACACCCGCCACCTGTGGTGACCTCTGCCGACCCTCCAGCGATTCGCCACCGCAGGGTTCCGCTCGCGGTTCCAAGGGCTCGGCCGCCGCCGAACCCAAGCCCAAAGAGGGCTTCGTCAGCGGTGGCGCGAAGAGAGGGATGAGGAGGATGAGGAGGAGGGGGAGGAGCGGAAGGAGGAAGAGGAGGGGAAGGAGGAGGAGGAGAATGAGGAGGAGGAGTAGGAGGAGGAGGAGGAGGAGGAGGAGGAGGAGGAGGAGTGCGCTGGCCAAAAGAGAGGGACGAGAAGAGGGCAGGCGGACAAGAAGCGAGAAGAGGGCAAGACGTCGTCGTCGCGGCCGCGTGCGGCGGCGCCTGCGGGGCCGTGCCAATCAGCGCGGACAGGTCTGCCCTCTGCCAGCAGACCTGCTGAAAACGGGCCCTGCCGCGGCGACGGTCGACGCGGGTCGCTGGCGACAGGTAAGCTAACAATGGCATCATTATACAACAAGAAAGACAACAGAGCACGATTGTCAAGAGGAAAACAACCTATAAAACAGAATTCAGGGGGCACCAGGGGCAAGGCTAAGACTACCACCAAGGTGCGGGTTGCAGAGAAGGATCGAGAAGCCAAAGAGCTGATTACCTCGCGCTCCAGGGCACGGAAACACTCGTACGACCCGCGCACCACTTGAATACATACAACATCATGGTACTGAGTCATATTGATAAACTGCCTGATCTTTGCGCGGTGGGTGTGCTGCGGGGCGCACAGTGCGCCGAAGAGCGAACGAGCATTCCAATATGCAACTGAAAAACGCTTGCACGGCAAGAAAGGGCTGCATCGCATCAGCAACGCAGGCCAGTCAACCGTAAACGACGAAGAAGAGCAGGAGGATGAGGGCGTAGAACTTGCCGAAGGTGCCGAACGTGCAGACGACCCACCCGGACTGGAAGACCCAGACGCGCATGACGACGAGGATGAGGCTCTTGCTCTTCTCTCTGAAGTGGCTATTCCGCATGTAGACCAAATTCTCTTCGTAGGTGGCGGTGTGGCGTGTCGCTGGTCGTCGCTGTCTGCCGCTTGCTCAGGTGTGGAACGTACACCGCAAGCGCCCACGCAGAACGGGACACCCAAACCAGTCAAATCACAATCCACAGGAGAGGCGAGGAACCCCAGTGGCATATCATGCAAGTCGGCCTTCATGCACTGCTGGCTTGGCAGAGCGGTCTCCTAGATCAGGATGCTCTCAACCGTGCTGTTGATGGTGGCGTCAGTGAAGCCGATCTTCTTCAATGCCACGACGTTGGGAATGACGTCCACTTGCATCGACTCTACGCCTTTCACCTGGAAGAGGTTCTCCGTGTCACCATTCGAGATCAGCCATAGCGTGCCACGAAATCCTTGCGAGCCTAGCGTAAAAGATGGATTCCACTTGTTATAGGCCTTGGCTGTCTCCACAACCTTGGACCAGAGGACGCCGAGGATGCGGTTGACTTTGCGGATGGCTGGCGGTGCGTCCATGCGGATCTTCAACTCACAGTCAGTATTGGTGCGAGGGTCGCGCCACTTCACACCCAGGGTCCGAGCGCGCATCAAGAAATCCTTGGCCGCTTCATTCGAATCAAAGATGATGCTGTAGGCCGTCTGGAAGTTGTGGGACTTGGGCATTGCCGTGATGCCGTTGGGGACGTGCTGTTGGATGAGCTGTGTAGCACGGGCACTCATGACCTTGGCTAGCAGCGGCCTCGGGAAGCCAGCGATCCAGATCTTGCGGTTGTCCCTCTCCTTCTCGGGCTCATGTGATGCGGCCGATGCATTTGACCTGGTCGATGGTGTACGCGATGACAGCGCAGCAAGCTCGGCCTGCATCATGAGATTATGGGCCTTCATGTCCTTCAGTTGATTGTCAACAGCTTCAGTCATGACGGCGGCGGCAGCGGATTGTGCTGCCTCCATGCTGGTATTAGTTCTATCCTCGATCACCTTCATCCGCGCAGTCAGACCGTCGACCCTGACCTCGTGCTCATGAATGTTTCTCTTCACCTCTGTGACGTCATCCTTTGTGGCCATGTTCGAGCGAATGTCACCCAGCATCTTGCGTATCAAGTCAGCATTGCCAGTACGCCCATGCTTCGGGACCGAGCAAGCTTCCTCTTCCACTGGCGTTGGGCACATCATCTCATCATCAGAAGCCATCGCAGTGATGCGGCTGCACTGACTCAGAAGGTGCCTAAACGGAGCTGTCCTGCGGGCGGCCGATGACCTGGCCTCGGGAGCAGGAAACAAGGCAGCTCGAGGGCAAAATGCCTATGAGGACTACTTTGGCCCTCAGTCTGGAATCTCGCTACACCGTAGCTTTCATCCAGACTTGAGCCAAAATGGCTACGGAAGGAGGAGGAGGAGGAGGAGGAGTGGGCACAGGGGGAGCAGGGAGATGATGATGGTGGTGATGGTGATGGTGATGATGGTGGTTGCTGGTTGATGATGGTGATGATGGTGACGATGATGGTGATGATGACGACGACGACGACGTTGGCGACGTTGACGGCGCAGCCGCCGCTACCGATTGTGATGATGATGATGATGATGATGCTGGTGATGAGGAGGAGCCCAGCGTAGGAGGGGCGAGGTCGTCGCTGACCACGGCTGGAAAACCCGCGGCCTCCTGCCACTCTCGACGCCGTGCTCGCTGGACAGACCAGCAGCGACGACGAAGGACACGAAGACGGCGGTGGACGGGGCGGCCGCACCGAGAGAGCACGCGGGGTCCTGCTTGGGACGACCAGCAACCGTATAACATATCGTTTAATTCAAAGACGATGGGGGGGCGGCGAACATATCAGCACGAGCGTGACGGTGTGCAGATGGGAAGCACGCGACGCGGCAGGGAGGGGAAGAAGGCGGGGAGTAGGCAACAGCAGAGGCAGCGATCGCGAGCGAAGGACGGGGAGGGGACGGGAGGGGTCGGGCAAGCAGGCATGGCGTGGATCGACAGAAGGGGAATGCGAAACAGTGAGGAGAATGAGGAGGAGGAGGAGGAGGAGGAGGAGGAGGAGGAGGAGGGTGGTGGTGGTGGTGATGACAATTATGCTGATGTTATTGCTGCTGCTGCGGAGGAGGAGGAGGAGAGGGAGGAGGAGGAAATGGAGGAGGAGGCGGTGTAGAAAGGGAAGAGAAAAAGGAGGAGCAACAACATGAGTAGGAAAGGGGAGGGTGGAGGAGACGGAAGAGTGATATGGAGGAGAAGGAGGACGCGGAGGGAAGCGGGAGGATGAGCAGGAAGGAAAGAGCCAGGTGTGCTCGCGCCATATCTGACATCCCACCCATCCCACCCATCCCTTCCCACTGACTTGAATTGTTCTCTATCCGCCAACTGGTGCCACAGCGGAACAGGATCCACCCAAAGGACACCATCGTGTTGTGCGCAATCAGAGAACACAAATAGTGTACATTAGAGGAGGTGGAGGAGGATGAGGAAGAGAAAGGGGAAGACGAGGAGGAACAGCAGTAGCAGCAGGAGCGGGATGAGCCGGAGGACCAGGGGAAGGCGGAGGTGGGGAAAAGAAGGGGGCGACAATGATGAAAAAGGACCGGGACCCAGAACAGTGGCCCACGCTGGGGCGAAAGCGCCATTCTGAACGACGGCACCGATTCTGAAATGAGGCGCACGATGCAGCGGGAGCACCATTTTGGAAGGTCCGAGAAAATTCGGGTTGGAATAGACACAAAAGACATACCACCTTTCGAGAGTGGTGCAAATAATCAGATGGCGGAGGGGGGCGCGCTCCTCTCAACACGTCCTCGGCGGAGGGAGGAGAGCAGTGTTCACAGTGAGTAGTTGCATAGAGAATAAAGGGGAGAGGAGATGGGGCGGAGAAGAACGAGTGAATCTTGGGCTCCAGGGGGGGAGTCTTCGGGGTCCTTGGGGGCCCTCTTGTGCCGTGTTGGGGCTCTCTTGGGCAGCAGTCTTTGAGCCCTCTTGGCCTTCGAAAGGGTCTCTTGGGGCCGTCGCGGGGTCTTGGGCCCGTCTAGGGCCGTCGGGGGGCCCTCAAAGGTTGTCTTGAGTCCCTCTGGGGGGCCCTCCTGGGCCGTCTAGGTGGCCTTCTGGTGTGCCATTTCGAAGGCCGCCGGAGCCTTCTTGAGCAGACGGGAGCCAGTAGAAGCGAGGATGGGGAAATCTGTCTCAGAACCCTTCGGATTATCAATGGTCGGGGCCGAGATCGACATACGAGCGGGATTCGATGGTGGCAGCTCCATTCTCGCCCCGTCTGCGAGCGCCCTGGGCGCTCCCGAAGAGCTTCGCGTACGTCTCATTGGGGCCGCAAGGCCTCGGAGACGCCGCCGCGGGAGCCGCATACTCCTCCCCCTCCTGCTGATGCCGGCTGCTGGATCCTCTTTCCACCTCGCGTCTCTGTCCTTCTCCTCCTCCTTCTCCTCCTCCTCCTCCTCCTCCTCCTCCTCCTCCTCCTCCTCCTCCTCCCCCCCGCCGAACACGATGATGTTTCTTTCCACGCTGGGAGCCTAAGATCAAGTCTACACCCTTTGCCTGTCTCTCTCGACAGCGGTGGTGGTACACGATGGCTCGCTGCAGGCATCAGGTACGGACACTGAGGCAGTGCGCACCATCACGGCGGCGGTCAGGTTGTTATGCAAGCTTTTGGCGAAGAGGGACCTGGAGCTGAGTCCGAACAAGGGCTACTTGATCGCGACTACTTCGAGAAAGCAAACCAAGCGGAGGTAAACTTGAGGAGTTGAAAGTTCAAATATTAGCCAGCGTGGACCCCAAACAGTGTTTGCCTGGCCGCAAAATGCGTTGTGCAATCTATGTGGGGCTATCTATGCTGTGCAATCTAGAACGTGCAGTGTATGTGGTGCAATCTATGCTGAACAACATGTGTTGTGCAATGTCTGTGGTGAAAGCTGTATTGCGCAACATACGTAGTGCAAGCTATGTTGTGAGCGATCTGAAAGCGCGCCGAAGGCGCGAACAACAAATCGTGCAACCTATGTGCTGCAATATTTGCGGGACAATGTATGCATTACAGTTTGTGCAGTCCATGTGGGGCTATCTGCCATGTTGTGCCAATGATTTGATGGCATACATGTGGTTGTGCAAAATACATGTTGTGCAATATTTGTGGTGCATCCCATGCCGTGAACAAACAAGAAGCGCGCCGCAGGCGCGATTACTTCAGGCGATACGTGCGGTGCAATGCAAGGGCGGCGACGGGCGGCGACCAGGCGGCGACGGTGGCCACATCACCGCCAGACTGGCTACACGGCCCTGACGACGGGCGGCAACGCGGCGGCCACGGGGCGGCGACGGCGAGCACATCGCCACCAGACCGGCCACACGGCACCGTTCCTCAGAGCACAAACAAGAAAGTCTAAGTGCAAGCGCTGTTTGGGGAACGAGGGCGCGTGGTCGGGCAGCTCGGGCGTGACAGGCGCATGGGAGGAGCGGCCCAGGCACCAGTGCAACGGCTACGTGTCGAGGGAGTTGGCCACCGCGGGTGCAGATTCCGACGCATGGCGCTGGGAGGACGACAGATGGGCAAGCTGTTCAGAAGTCGTGGTCTCACATCAGTGGCCACTGCGGTTGCGGTGCAGGGGATGAGATACGCAGCTGCAGAAAATCAGAGCTTTGTTGGGCATGCGCAGTTGGATCGGCACGAGGAAGATGCAGGATCATGGAATGCACTTATAACATTGCCCGAGAACGGACCCAAACTTGATGTCGGATGAGTTCTCTCTCACGTACTGGTTGAAAGCAAAGTGGGGGCAGTGTGTTAAGCCGAGGGCTCTGGCGCTGGCACTCATGCATGCGCAGAACCACACTAAATCGTGGCAGTCAGTGCAAGGACCTGCCTGGTGCTGCTCTTATGACTCTGAGGAGGCTTGGGTGGAAAGCAGGAAGCTGGAATGCGTGATTTACGGGCCGTCAAGCACAAGTGGATTTGGATGAGAGTGGAATTTGCACACCCTCAAGGAGCTGGTTAACCTGTCCACGAAGCGCAGGCTCATGGAATGTATTCCCACAAGCTGAAGTCTGGAAAGGCTAGTCGGGCCTCCCATACTTGAGCCTGCGCTCAAAGAGATCGCTGAGCTGCGTGCGGCAAGCGGCTTCAAAGGTGCAAGCCTACTACGGACGTGGTTGGCTGGAAGTTTCTTCAACCAGGTACGGTTCAACAGGGTGACCGCAGCGACAGCGTACTCTCCATTGTGCGCAGTATATGATGTGGAAGCAGGTACGGACATACATCGAATATTTCGCTGCGACTGGCACATGTGTGAGCGTCACGAAGGGCTTGGGCAAGAAAGGATCAACTTGAACTGGGGTAAGAAAGAGTATGGGCAAGCGCACCCTGTTTCAATATTCTCTTCATGACCGTCCCCACCAATGGATCATGACACCATCAGGTGGCACCTTTGTGCGGTCAGTGGTCTGATCAGCGGAGTGGTGTGCATCGATGGAAGTTGAATTTTCCCGGATTATGAGGTCAGAGTCTGAGCTGGTTGGGCGTTTTGCATGACTGAGAGTGCTGGACGTGTGATCAACGCTGCTTCTGGACCGGTCCCCTTTCCTTGGACGACGTTGGGAGGGGCAGACATTTGCAGCTGTGGAAGTGGTAAAGCAAAAGTCTCAAGCGCACCTCCAACTCCTCACGGATTTCAGGCAGCTTTTTGTGGGGTGGCAAGCTGGCCACCCGTGCGGAACCCACGCAAATCACCAGTAAGCTGAGTGGGCTGAACCCTGCAAGGTCATCGACGATGCTGGGACTGACCTGATCGATATCGAGTGTATCCCCTCCCGCACGAGCCAGACGCAAGCCCGCTCGGCTGGCATACCGATGGCGCTATGGGGGGGGAATAAGCAGGTTGATTTCTATGCGAAGCACGGTGCGACGGTGCACCCGAGATGGCAGCCACAAGAGCGAGGTCGTCAGACGAGAGAGGCCGCCACCACCACGACGCTAAAGATGGTGTTGAGAATCTCGCGGCGGTGCTCTCAAAAGACATGGGCGGATACTGAACGGGAGGCGTTTGCTCCGACAGCCATCGGCCTCACCCTGAGTGGTAAGCATGGCCGCAGGATGCGTCGGTTTCGGGGTAGATGGGTCTGCGAGATGTGTGGATATAGCCGTGGTTGACAGCGTGACCTTTTGAAGATGGAGTGTGCTTTGGTGTGTTGCATGTACGGTTCGCTGCGTGTTCAGAGCTTACGCGCTAGCCAGACCGTGCGTAGGAAAGCCCCCCCCCCGGGGTTCTCCGAGGCACCTTGAGCGGACGTGCCTTGTCCAAGAGAGAGGCCCGTCCGTCAGACGAGAACAACTCGGGAATGGGTGTCGTCGGCCTGTTCCGATTTGCTCGCGCTTGAGACGCTTTCGGGGTCCAGTTCATGAATTTCTGTCGCTGGCCTGGTGTCTCGACCCTCGGAGCCCCTCGTCGTTATCGGAAGCCTCGGAAGCCTCCTCCTACCCCTGTCCCTCCCACCTCCTTCATCCTTTGTGGAGGTGGTGGTGGTGGTCGTCGTCATCCTCTTTCTCCTCGTCCTCCTCCTCCTCCTTCTCCTCCTCTTCCTCCGCCTCCTCCCCGCAGACCTCGTAGACCTCAGAGCGCCTGGTAAATCCATGATCGGCCGACGCAAGACTACACATTACACATCTGGGGCCACAATGCTGGGACCAACCTCCGATGTGGGGGGGAGGAAGAGGGCGAAGCAGGCAAAGGAAAGAAAGGAAGGGACGAGCGGAGAAAAGATTGGCCCAGCCTGTTGCAAGTCCCAGCAGTCTCACAGGAGCAAGTTGCCAGCACGAACGCTGCTTGCTGGGCCCCCACAAGCAACACAGCAACACTTACAGCGACATCGGTCTCCACCACAGGCGCCCAGTGAATGGTGCCGAACAACCCCACCCCCACGAAGCAAGGAACACAACGTGGGGATCGGGGAATGGCACTCGATGGTGGTGGTGGCCGAAGTGATGGGACGCAAGCGTAGCCTACATCGAAAACCTGACCCGTGTGGTGCAGAACGGTGCTGGGCGATAGCTTTTGGTCGGGCATGCCCCCCTACAGCGGGATCTTGGACGATGATGTTTTTAAAGTCGAACGTACAGTACTCGAAAATGGTTCAAACATACTCAAATATAATTGCCAAACTATTTGTAACTATTTTTGCATCTTCCTCCTGCAGAGGGACAGACCCTTCTTGGGCACCTTGGCCCTGGGTGGTCGGACGGCCTTCTTGTAATTCGAGCTCCGAACGTGGGAGTTTGGGCGCCTCTCCTGCCGTTGACGCCGCGATGGCGATGTTGTGCCTACATCGGAGAGAGCGTGATCCACTGGCGCTTTACTGTGGAAAATTCCCCCCCCCCCCACCCCCTTCCTTCGGAACCCAGGGTCCCTGCTGGACCCCCCCCTCCCCCTAAACCCTGGCAACCCCCCCCCCCGACCCCCTCCCCCCCCTCCGGAAAACCGGGGGGGTCACTACCGGTTCGAACCCCTCCCCCCCCCTTCCAGAAAACAAGGGGGGGTCACCACTGGTTCGAACCCCCCCCCTCCAGAAAACTGCCAGGGGGGTCACTACTGGTTCGAACCCCTGCCGCCCACCCCCCCACGCTCACCGCTGGCAAACGACTCCAGGGTCCATACCACACCACCGTCCGCACTACATCCCGCACTGCTGCCCCCAGCACCACTGTCCCCGCCACCACTGTCCCCACTGTTCCCACCACCGTCCCCACTGTCCCCACAAGTGCCCCCACCACTATCGCACTGTGCCCACTGTCCCCACCACTGTTCCCACCACGGTCCCACTCCCCCCACTTTCCCCACGGCCCCAACCACTGTCCCACTGTCCCCACTGTCCCACTGTCGCACTGTCCCCGCCGCTGTCCCACTGAGCTGTCCCATTGTTCCCACCACTGTCCCCACTGTCCCCACCACTTTCCCCTCTGTACCCTTGTCCCATTGTCCCACCGCCGTCCTCGCCACCGCCCTTACCACTGTCCCCACCACCGCTGTCCCCACCACTGTCCCACTGTCCCCACCACATTCCCACTGTCCCCACACCACTATCCCCACCACCACTGTCCCCACCACTGTCTCACAGTCCCCACCACTGTCCCGTTGTCCCCACGGTTCCCACCATTGTCCCCGCTGTCCCCACCAGTGCCCCCACCAGTGTCTCACTGTCCCCACTCTCGCCACCATTGTCCCCCCACAGTCCCGCTCTCCCCAGTTCCCCCACGGTCCCCACCAGTGTCCCACTGTCCCCGCTGTGCCCACCACTGTCCCACTGTCCCCGCCGCTGTCCCACTGTGCTGTC